AAACCTTCGACACCCTGATCGGCAACCTATTCATTTAACGCATTATCTGTCAGTGTGCTGAAATCGACGGCAATGTTCACCTATTCAATTGAGTTCAACAGAATTTAGCAAGGCGCATCGAATTATGCATTGCAAATAATGGAAATCATATTGAAAATATAATTTCCTAACATTATAATTAAATAAAATTCTTTTGTTCTAAAGGTATGTATTTATCTCCTATGTACTCAGACTTCGTGGACACCCTGTTCATCTCTTAAAACTGAATGGGCCACACGAGTAACAGTGCCTAAAGTACTACGCCTGGTCTTATATGCAAATTGCAGGGAACCAGAAAAAATGAAGAAAAATGGCCTGATCATTTCGTTCCGCAAGTTTCAGTAGGGCGGAAACGCAGGCACTTGAATAAAGGGAGTGATTTTCAGTGAACGCTCGTCGTCAGGAGTCTTGGACTCGATAAAGGACAAGATGATAAGATTTTTTAAGCCAAGCGCTAGCCAAAAACAGCAAGATTTGTAGAGGAATAATAAGACACCATCTGGTCCGACAGCCTTTAAACCTGCAACCGTTTTAAGGTGTTCCCCACCGCCACCAAAGACGCAGGAGAAACGACACTTGAAAATAACGAAACTGCGTTTGACGCAGGATAGGAATCAGTGGAAGTGTGGCTAAAATTTGCACTCAAACACGTTAAATAAACGTCGGCATATGGAAGTTTGTGCCAATGGTCAGGGAGAATTTTAAGATAAACCCAAAGTTCGGACAAAGAGAGGGGAAACGAAGATGTAGAGGATGGAGAAACAAAATACTGACAAAGAAACAGCCCATTAGGTCTGGAAATCTCTCTTTTTATTAAAAGGCTAACGTCCTCTTTACTGTCACGTAGGCCTAGTTTGTAAATTTCCTTTTTGCGTCTTAAAAGCGGAATAACAACCAGGTGGTTCAGTCTGGGACTCTCTTTTTTGATTAGAAAGGCAACTATTTTGACGTAGACTGCCAATATTTGCCTTATTTGGGACAATGTCGACAGTAATTATCTATGCGATGCAACATATAAGACAGCTGATCACGTTTTGATGTCAAGCTGCATTACATAAAGTGGCGTTTTACCCTGGAAGTCGTCGATCGACGGAGTTGGCGTAGAAGTGAATGATGATGGCAACTAAATCACAGTCCTTGAATTTACTGTGCTATAAATGCTTTTCATGTGAAATTTAAATGTTACCAGTAAAAAAGGTAGAACAGTTCACATTATTTCCGACAAGAGATAAGCGACTAAAATTGGAGGATAATAAGTAGCACTTAGTAGCAATCTGGTCAGACAACGGTTTTCATTGTAGAGGTAGAGATAGCTGCCAAAAGTTGTGTCCCAGGGGGATTGCATTCAATTACCAGTGCAACTGCAGTTTGGTCACGGCAGTTGTAACTCTGCAGCTCTGAGCATAAGACTGCTTTGCGTAATCGAAGTTCGGCCGTATCAGCTGTTGCTCCCAAGCGCTGTCTCAGTATTTTAAATAGTTTTGTCGAGTCCACAATCTACAGTGCAGTCGGTACTTCATGCAAAAGGCCGAAATTTGCAAGATGTTGATAATCACTCGCAAACCGGCATTAACGCATATAAAAAACTTTGAAGTAATAATGAACAGCTTTAGAGAAAGTCGAAACTTAAAACAAATACAGAAAGTACTAATCGTTCGTTAAGATAAATTTCGTATTAATACTCAAGTTTTGCAGAACAGCTATAAATTCGGCCAATAAGTGTAAATAACCTAACTGTAATCGACAGGTGCCTGCACAGCCATATCTTTTCCTTAATTTATATTTCTTTATACACATTTAAAATATCTTTTTTATGTTTTCAGTATACCGGCGTAGACAATGGCAACGTAGTAT